ATATAGCAACGAACAGATCGTGCTGGGTTTGCTGGGAGTGGACACGGGTGGTCATGACAGAAATCGGCCGCGTGGTCCTCTTGGTGCTGGTTGGTGGTTATCGTTAGGATTGTTCCTGGTGATCTTCGTCGCCTCCGTCGCGTTCGCTGCCTTCGTCGTCTGATGGTGCTGTGGCCGCAATTTATGGTTGTCCTCATAAAACATCTTAAGCTTTCCTGGAAAGAAAGCTGCACACACGCAAAAGGCATCAAGCTCTGCGATGGAACCAAAAGCCACACCACGTCGCTGCAAACCAGGCGGATGCTTATCAGTCTTCCTAATCTAAGTCTCTCTGCACCGGCCGTGGGATGTCCAACAGCAGCGTCGCAGCCATGGTATTCGCACAGCATGTGTTTTGCTCCCACAACTTCGCACACTTTAAAAGCCTTCCACGTAGCCTTGAGCTGTTGCGTCGAGGGTTCTTCTCGACTCATCATGAACTTGCCTTTGCTTGGAGTTCTTTTGCAAATGTTGAAGCTCATGTTTTCACTGCCGGCTCTGGTGGCGATGTCGGGCTTTGCCTCGGGCGGAGAGGCCTCCTATCTTTCCGTTTCGTGGTCTCCATTTGTCTACACCGAAATTGGGTTGGGCTCGCCAAGCAGAGACAGCGCCCAAACACCCTACAGTGGTTCCTGGGGTCATGTGGCTAAGCTGCTAAGCTCACGCCTCTGTGACTATTGGGTGGTAGATGGACAGGCATGGGGCCCGTCGAAGTCTGTAGGACCGAATGCGCATTTTACAGCCTCTCCCAAGCCGGAGGCCAGCAGCGATGTGACGCCTCGGCACTTTTTACGGCTGATTCACACACTGACATGCCACTTCAGGGGAGAGCAAGAAGATCGGCTCTGTCGCTATATAATAACATCTATGTCCCGGTGACAATTGCTGCGGTGTTCACATGTTCGCCCTCAGAAGAGCCGACCTCAACCGCAAAATGTCCGTTTTGCCCGCCGCGAAAAAAAGCCGTCTCTGGGGTACTATCGTCCCAGTCCCATGCGAAGCGAGCGCCAGCCTGGCAAAACACTCCAGGCTGCTTACACGGGCATGCTCGGCTCAGCGAGCGTGTCATCGAAAGAGGGCGATTGAATCCGATAGAAGGACTTCAGCGCTTACCTGCTGCCCTTTTGAAGACTTCGGCAGACATGGCCCGTTGCCAGACACTCTGCAGCATGCACCCACGCTCATATTAAGTTGCACTGCATGCGCGCCTCTGTTCGCCGACAGCGCTCCAGCTGTGCCCAAGCAGTCTGCGAGGGCTCTGTGGCACCACGCGGGCCAAGCTGCACTGCCTCCCCGACGGCTGCTTCGAATACTGTCGGATGATGTAGAGAGAATGTGGACGTTGCGCTCAAGCCTGCCCAGTTGGCGATGGCATCATGCCTTCGAAAGAATCCTCGGGCTCGAGGCAAGCATTACTCCCTTCTCCCTTCTCTCCCTCTCCGCTTCCATGCCGTTTGTAGCAACCAGCCAACCTTCCAGCGGGAGAAGTGAAGGTAGCCTGCCTCGCCGCATGAAGGTAAATGCCAAAGTCGGCCTGCACCGCACGAAAGCCGAACTTGCGTCCATCAACCAAAGCACTCACCGGTTCGACTGAGGAGCCTTCAGACCAAATGATGTCACCGTCCTCAACGAAAGCAATGGGAGTTTCAGCTTAGAATTTCATCAGCTTCCATCCAGCACTCCAGATTTCTTGATGTAATGACTTGTAGCTCCGGCCCCAAAACAAAGCCATACAGCAATGTCCAAGAAGAGACTCGAACCTTCTTGGTAGACCGTACGACGTTCCTAACTTCCGAGCACTATTGAATATCACGACTGCATCCAGGAGTCGCCGTGGCGAGGTGATGCCGAGAGCCTTCCAAGAGTCTCCAGCTATCACATTGACATTGACGTGAAACTTCGGAGCGAGGAACCAGTCTTCAAACCTGTTGACATCTGTTGACCTTTGCTGCTTGGGGCACTGTGTTGGGAAAGGTCGCGGGAGGCGCTCCAGCGACGATTTCCACAGCAGGCGTCCAAAAGCCCACTCCTCGGGCGCACTCAGAAAA